ATTTTTTAATATATTTCCGGCAACATGGTATAATTTTTATTTGAAACGATTTGTGATATCCCCATGCACTTATTTTTTAAAAAACATGAATTTATTTGCATTTCTTTCAACATTTTTTTCAATTAAAAGGATAAATTTCACATTTTTCCATACTAGTAGAAATTTGTCATGGAGCCACTCAATTGTTCAAGTTACTGGACAGTTTTTGTCACGGACGCTGATTCTAGGCGGACTGGTAAATAACTATAAAGTTACTGACCAACGCTCTTCATCAAAGATTCAAGTTGAATTTGATATTGGCTAGACATAACTTCTGTCTAGTTTTTTTAATGTTACTTTAAAGTACTCCTAGAAATTATAGTTCTAAGTTTGTCGTGTCGATGACACTGCAATATGTCTAATAACTAGACAGCTCGACTGATTATTTGCTAGAGATAAATTTGTTCTTATTCTTTCCAATATTTTAAAACTTTTCATTTTAATTTGTTATTAATTAAAAATTTAATTAATTTATTATTATAAATTATTAATATTAATTAATAATATTAATTAATAAAATTAATTAATAATATTAATTGTTAGTAGTAAAATAAATGATCATGGGAAGGTGAAGAATTGAAAAATTCAATGTATCGTCAAAATTGCGACGTTTCGTTGGCTAAGGTTTGCCAATCTCATCAGGCTAAATTTATTTAAACAGAAAAACACTTCAATATTAATAAAGGTTTAAAACAACACTATACACTATACTGAAAATATGTTTAAAGAATATCCTACCAGATTCGTTAAAACATAAAAATCGCGTTCTAACTCGTCAATATAAAAAAGATTTCATTGAGAAAAAATATTTTTTTATAACAATTTCCACATATATCAAAATTAAAAATGAAAAATTTCTTCATGTGAAAGGAAGACATTTCAGCACACTAGTTCAGTGTCAACTGAAAAAAAATTAAAATTTGCTATTTCGAGAAAGTCAAAAGAAACAATATGAAGAAAAAGTCAATGAACTGAATGTAAACACAGTTTTATCATAGAGGGAGCAAGTTGTGTTCTTGTTGTGTCATTATAGACAAGAGTCTAAACGTCTGAGAAGAGGAAAAAAGGTTCTGTTTAGAGTGAAAATATCTTCCTTTCTATTAATAGTGGAATGATTTGTTTTATATGGATTATTTCAGATATTCGTCGTTTTATAAAATTTGGTTCATTGTCCAAAATTTTGGCATTTTCCCAATCGAAGTCATGATTACAATTAATTCGATGGCGGTAAACTACAGAGTTATCATTTACTTTTTTATGTTCACTAGCTCCTCCGACGGCCGCAAGCGGCCGTCTACGGTGCTAGTTTTTATATGTCCATTGTCCAAGTCCATTATTTCATTAATAATAATATTCAAATTTTTTCAGTTAATAATTTGCTTATTTATATTTGAAATGTTGACGTTTTTTTGACAATGCAAAATAAGATTTATTAGAAGTACTTTCTCTTAACAAAAATAAAATTTATATATTCGCGCTCTTTTTAAATAACATACGACTGCAGCGCCACCATCACATGTACAAACAATTTTAAAAACACCCTTCTATTAAGATTTTACATTCTCATTGCCCATTCTTTACTTCGATACTTTTCGATACATTCGACCTTTCCACTCCATGTCTTTTTTAAGAAAGGATTTATGCGAGTTAACAATGACCGTTTTGTTTCACCTATATATGTTGCAGGACAATCTTTACAGTCAAACTTGTATACAACATTTGTTCTGTCCCATTTTTTAGATGCATCTTTACCAAGTCTAAATATAGAATTGGAGTTTTTATTAATAAGTGGAATCGCAGTAAAATTAAACTCTTTGAGAATATTTGACAACTTAAAGAAACATTTTTCATTGAACGGTAAACAAACCTTCGGGATTTGACTGTAAATACTAATTTTATTTCGATTATTGTTATTATTATTATTAACCTGAGAAAATTTTATATGGTTTGTACGAATTTTTATATGTTTATAAATAAAATCCAAAGTATAGTTATTATTTTTTAAGATGGATCTTATCTTCTTTAAGTTATCAAAATGAAACTCTTTGTTGGACAATGAAATCGCTCTATCAACCAGATTGTATACAATATTCTTTTTTTGTTGGATCGGATGATCTGAAAAATAATTAATGAGTCTATCCGATGAAGTCGGCTATTGATACCAATTTGTGACAATTTTGTTGTTTTTTCTAGTAAGTTTTAAATCAAGAAGATTAATTGAGTTATCCTTTTCTTTCTCAATTGTAAATTGTAATTTTTAATTGTAGGCATTAAAAGTATTGATGACTAAGTTGACATGTTCTTTTCCCTGGCGGGTTGGGCTACCGTAAATCTACCCAAGTTATGGTAGATTTAAGGTAGGTTTTGGGTAGACTTAAAAAATTGCTATTATTCAATGAAATATTATAAAATAAATTATTGGGAATAATAAAGTAACATTTGTAGATTAAATTTTTAAATTATATTATGTAAATTAAACAATTATAAATAAATTATTGATATGTAAAAGTGACAAAGTAGTTTCCAGTGAATATAGTGGGTTTTAAATAGCATATTTAGTGAATAATGAAAAGAAAAAATTAGGAAAACTTATTTGATTTAACAAAAGTAATCATTAAAGCATTTATTTATTACATATTTAGGGCAAATTAATGTTTACTTATTGAATAATTAATGTTTAAAGTTGGAGATGTCAGTTCTACCGTGAGATGTATGCGTGTGTGTGTGAAGCAATGATACCCAGTAAAAAAAACTAATTCAAATGAATTGAAACGAATTAACATTTTTGGTAGGCTCCAATTCGTATTTGTCACAAAGCGGGATTCACTCAAGCTCTTTGTATATTCAATTGAATTTAATTCAATATGTACCAATTTGTCCAAACGAATTCGCATTCGAAAGAAATGGCCAAGGAATGCATTGAATTCGTGCTAACGAATTGAAAAAAATTAAAGGCTCAAAACTTGTCCAGTAAATTGGTACGGATAGAAGGTTCGGAAGTTCAATACAGTTTCACGAATTCAGGAAAATTGCATCATGGCTCCAATTCGTATTTGTCACAAAGCGGGATTCACGAAAGCTCTTTGTGAATTCTTTTTAATTCATTTCAATTAGTTTTCGTTTACTGGGTAATATACTACTTGATATATCGCTGCGCATTTCTCACGACAGATGGCGGGACTGACATTTTCCTGTAACGCGCAACTCAATTTATTGGCGCGAAACTTTGGAATATTTAAAAGTTCCTAAAGAAATTGGATTCGTTCACAATTAAGGGTATAGAAACCCAACCCATCGATGAGATCCTCTTCGAATAGAAATTCGGTGCCAACGTCGAATCGAATAATCTTTAAATTTTATACCGAAACTTCAAGAAAAATAGAGAAATCAAAAGCAAAAAGGCAAAAAGCAATTAAAAAGTCAAGTAATTTGGGTTTTACATAAGAAAACAATTTATTTTCTCTACTTCAAGCTGAATTAGCATATAATTACAACTTCGTACAACCGTTCGCGACAAGTCCCAAATTCCTTCTGAGTAAACTGGCCGCTCAAGCGGGCCCAGGTACTTCTACTTTCCTGCTCTAGGTATGCGCGCGCCATCCAGGTTGGAAATTTGCCTGGTTCGAGCCGACTCAATGTTTTTGGAATCGTTTGCAATATCATAAGTATAATTATTAATAGAGATATTGAAAAAGAAATTAAACTTAAACATTTTACAATAATTAAAAATAGGTCTCTATTAATTAAATTTATAAGGATATTAGCTTTCGTTTCTTTATCTCTATCTTTGTCCCTATCGCTATCTCTATCTCTCGTTGAATTAAAATGTAAAAGACCTTTTGTATTTCTTTTAAGAAATCTCACTATCAACACTCATACATCGTACTTACAACAATCGTTTAATTCAATTATCATTCTTAAAAATTCTAAAAGTTTATTATATTTAATTATGAAGTTGACTAATCTATACACTTATGTGAAAATAGTCGTCGTTGCAAAAATGTTTATGATTTATAAAGGATTACATTTGTCAAATTTGTTTTACTAATGTTGAGTTATATATATTGAAAAGCAATGATAAAATATTAGATTTAAATTAATTAAGGATGTTAATTCAAAAGTTCAATTTTAAAATTGATGTAGTACTCATCAAGTTTCAATTTAATAATCGCTTGGATAGGTTGCAATTCTCTTCTTTGACATTTATAGTTTTTACGTGACTCTTTTTAGCAAAAAAGGCTAAGTTCAATTTTATGAGACCCAGATGTTTAGGCTTTTGTTTGCAAAAAGGGGCGATACGAGATTGAGCATTGCTATGTTATTTTTAGTTTTATTACTTTTACTGCAGGGTTTGGGTTTTTACTCTATTTATTGCCTTCTAGTCTGATTTCAATTTCTATAAAGTCATAAAGGGATTTGCAACCCACCGATTTCATACCATTCCTTCTAACTAGCCTAAAATAACAAATTCGAGAGATGAGATAAAAATTGGTTTTCCCTATTTTCTCTGATTTTCGTTTTTGTAAGAAAAAACGAAGAGAGAAAAGACATATTGTAATCTATATATATATATATATATTTTTTCTAGTCAAATTGTCCAACGCGTAACTGTTTGCCAATCATATTATTTAATTAGTTTAATTTATTAATATCATATACATATTTTATTATTCGAAAGTTTACCGCGCTTTCATCTCCCTCGATAGTGCTGTTTTTAACGGCGAGCTCGCGAATCTTACGCGCTCGTTACACTTCTCCCCTTAATAAAAAGGCACATCTTCGGATGTGTCTTTTTCAAAATTAAATAATAGTAATGTTAATAATAATAATTAATTCTAGTTCAAGGCTTTATTCGCAAATGATTGTCTTATGTTTTTGAAAAAGAGAATGTGGCAACCATTTATTTAAGCGTCGTTGTGGGTGCTCCTTAAGCGAAAGGGCACAGTACTTCAAATCTATGTTGCATGTGTTTCGTGGTTGATTACGGTTGACAGCTGTTCGACAAAAATATACTGGAGAACACAATAACAAAGTAAAAATTTAGAGATTTTGTTATTATTTAAAACACGATAAGATGAGGTAATAGTGGATTGAGAAATCGGATTTTTATTTCTCTTGAAAAGAAAGGTATGTACATAAAATATATATATATATTTCCGTGTGCTGTAATTCCCTTTTTTTTGAACATGTTCATAACCTCACTTGCTTGTAAATTTTGTTTTGAACGTTCTAAATTTTGCTCTCTTTTATATACATATGCATGCATATATTTTTCTACAGCAAACTTTAGACGTATCTTAAAAATGCATGTTTAATTCTATTTACGTGAATGATTTTCGTTTGTTTTGGTGTAATTTGTACTTCGACATTAAGGTTATCTATTACGCGTGTGATTTTAAAGGGACCTGAATAATGATCATCGAATTTGTCATGCCTAATTTCTACAAGAACATAAACATATTGTCCTACTTCGAATACGCGTTCATTAATTTTTCTGTCGTAATACTTTTTACAGCGCACCTTTGCCGCTTCAAGGCGGGCTGTCGCAAGGGACTCTGTTTCAATTATTCTGTTCAGGAGTTCGTCTACTAATTGAATGTACGTTAAAGGGACCTTTTCATCGGCAAATTCAGATGGAAAACGAGCTTTCCTTCCGAACACGATTTCGTGGGGTGTTAAACCCGTGGATTCATGGACTTGGGTGTTAAAAGAAAATATTGCATATGGCAACCATCGGTCCCAATCGGAACGCTCGGCGTACGAACGTAAGTATTCTACTAACGTATGATGGCTTCTTTCCAGGGAACCGAGGGATTGCGGGTGATAAGCGGTCGAACGAATTTTGCGGATCTTGAATAATTTTGCGATATTGTCCATGATGTTGCTCATGAATTGAGAACCTTGGTCTGTATGGATTGTTTCCGGACAACCGAATATACAGATCAATCCTTCGACTAATGCTACAGCGAGGTGAGAGGAATCTATCTTCGAGAGTGGGACAGCGCCTGAGTATTTACTCAGGTTATCCTGCCAAGTCAACATATACGCGTTCCCGGATTCTGTTGTAGGTAAGGGCCCAACTATGTCAATTTGAACCTTTTCAAACGCTCTGATAGGTGTATCGGTTATTTTCATTGGCATCTTGGTTTTTACGCGTGTTAATTTTCTTTTCTGACATATTTCGCATGTTTTTACGTATTTTCTAACCTCGTCCCTCATATTTTTCCAATAAAATCGCTCTCTTATCCGCTCTAAAGTTTTAGTCTCGCCTTTATGGCCACCGGTAGTTGAATCGTGACATTCTTTAAGTATTTCGCTTCTTTTTTCAATTTCCGGAATTTCTATTTCCCCTGTACAAACCGTGATTTGATAGTTACCTTTACCGAAGTGAGCACGAAAAATTTGTTCGATCGTTGACCACGATAATTTGTCGAAACCATTTCCAGTACGAGATATACTGAAACTTGTTAATTTCGACAAATTAAGTGCCTCTTTCAATGTGTTAACGGCAATTTCAATATTTTTCGCGTAGACTGCAGAATCGAATTTTTCTTTGATGTATAAGTTAAATACTAATCGTCCGCCTTGATTGTTCGATGTTACATAACCTATAATTGCTTCTGGGTCTTTCAGACACGAGGAGGTGATGACGGAGTTCTCTATTAATTCTCGACCTAAAGGAGTGGTAAGAATGCCGTCGCATGAAACGAAATTTACAATGTTATCGTCACGCATCCATAACTTGTCTTTACTTAGTTGGAACAAAGGAGTAAGTACCGAATTTCCTTTCTCGCTATTATTGTGAAGTACGGTTCCCTTTTCTGTGATTTACTTTCGTTTAATTTGATTCTTTTTGCAGGTTGTCCATCATCATCTGAAATTTCGTTTTTGTCAGTGTCCCGCCCCTTTTTTAACATCGATAAACAGTTTCCCCACATCCCTATCAATTTTACCTTTTCGTTTTCATTTAAAATATCGTCGTCTGTCTCGTCATTGTATTCACATGGAGTTTCAGGGGAAATACGAGTTCTCTTGCAAACTCGTTCAACAGGTAGCCTTTCAACATTATCCCCGCGAGACCAAACAATTGATAGACCGGGTTCTTTATCACACTGTACTACGGATTCTCTCAAAGAATCCCCGCGTGACCAAACAATTGGTCCACCGGGTACTTCCTCTTTTTCCAAATCACACTGGAATTCATTTTCATCGACACCAGAGCCTCGTTCATTAGAGTGGGGCGAGTTTCGCGAATCAGTTTTGTCGCAGCTAGTGGTCGAAAATTCCTCTAGGCCTTTGAGTGAACCGACCACTGCTGTTATTAAACAAAACGATTCGCGCTCTTTTGAAACATATGCATCTGTTCCTTCTATCATCCCACAATCCTGAAGAGTCCCGTGACGATCAAAATTAGATTTTGCTACCTGTTTCCCCCTTTTCTCGCGAAGTACTGTATCGTTCGTCTCGTCAACTCGATTTTTGCCCTGGTGATTGGCAATATACGTGCTGATACATGCTTTTTCTATAGGAAACTCGCTATAAACAATCTGTCCATTTTCATCTATTGAGTCAAGTTTTGTGTCTAAATTACTCTTGTCACACTTATCGTCAGTCTTAGAAGTTACGGGATTGCGCGAGAGGGCATCTGCGTTCGAATTTACCCTACCCGGTTTGTATATTATCTTATAATCGCATTCGAGCAATTTTATTTTCCAGCGCGCTAGTCTCGAACTAACCGTGGGGTCTTTTAATTGATCAAGCCAAACTAAGGAGCGATGGTCGGTTACTAATGTGAATTTTTGGCCAAATATATATGGCCTGAAAATTTTTACCGCGAAAATTATGGCAAGAAGCTCTTTTTCCGTAGTGTTGTAGTTCAATTCGGCTTTGTTGAGTGTTCGAGAGGCATACGCGATAGGTAAATCCTTACCAACTTCTCCTTGACTAAGGATAGCACCAAGGGCATAGTCGGATGCGTCGGTAGTAATAACAAAAGGTTTAGAGAAGTCCGGATACTGTAAAATTGGTTGAGAGCAAAGAATTGATTTTAGGGTCTCAAAAGAACTATCCGTATTTTGAGTCCATTTAAAAGGCGCGTCTTTCTTTAAAAGCAATGTTAAGGGCTTCGCGATTTGGGCAAATTTCGGGATAAATCTCCTGTAGTAATTTGCTAGGCCTAAAAATTGTTTAATATTTTTGCGATTCTTTGGTTGTGGGAAATTTTTGACGGCGTCCAATTTTTTGGGATCGGGTTTCACTCCCTCTGCTGAAATAATGTGACCGAGATATCCGATTTCTTTGCACAAAAATCTACATTTATCCGGTTGTAGAGTGAGACGCGCAGTTTTTAAACGGCCTAGTAATTTTTCTAGTTTCTCGCTGTGCTCTTGGATAGATTTAGAATAAATAACAATGTCGTCCATGTAAACAAACATTTCTACGCCTTGGAGACCCGATAGAACCCGATCCATTAATCTTTGAAACGTTGCGGGGGCAGTTTTTAACCCAAAAGGCATACGATTAAATTCGTATAACCCGTATAGGGTGGAAAAGGCTGTTTTGTGTCTATCCGCCGGGTCAATTTCAATTTGGTGGAAACCGGACGCGAGATCGAGCACACTAAAATATTTAGCTCCTCCCAATTGATCGAGAATATCAGTTATATTTAGCAAGGGATAAGCGTCCCCGGTAGTTTTTTCATTAAGTCCGCGGTAGTCGATCACCATTCTCCACCTTTTATTGCCCTGTGAATCAGGCTTTTTGGGAACAACCCAGACTGGTGAATTATAAGAAGATTTTGAAGGGGAAATCGCGTCATAACCCTTTAAATTATTTGTTTCCGTTTCAATAACCTCTTTGTGGATCTGGGGATACCTATAATTTCCTTTGTTAACCGGAATATCATCGGAAGTGTTAATTTTATGCTGTAAGACGTTAGTACAACCGAGTTTATCCCCCTTTAAAAAAAATTGATAGGGAAATTTTACTATTGATTTTAAAAGGCTCTCTTTTTCTTCCTCGTTCAAATTATCTAAGTAAAGTTCATTTATTAGTTTTTTATATCGATCTACTGAATCTTTCTCTCCCTCACACCTAACCTTTTCATCTTGCTTATTGTTTATATCGGGTTTTGGAGTGAAACTAATATTTTCTATTTCTTCTAGACTAATTGGTAGAATTGAAAGTTCGACGTCCCTGGTGCCGGTATTAACACAATAAGTAAGGGCTTTCCCGTTCTCTACAGTTACCAAAGACTGTCCCAGAAAAACTTCAGGGCCAGCTGGTATCAAGGGCAAATATCCCTCTGATAAGTCGACGTTCGTCACCGGTAAGGAAACTACTTGTTTCGTCCTTGCTTTTAATATTAAGGTAGTTCTCTTAAGTGGGGTGGAGAAATTAAAAGTGCCTGATTGATGATAAACTTTGTTTGTTTGTAGGTTTATTACAGAGTTACCGAGAAACGGCATGCCAACCATTCCATGGCCGCTAATGGGAAAGTTGTTTGGAACTACCTGAAAAAAACAATTGACGCCATTTATTGGGATGCGAACCTCGCCAAGGGTTTGAACTCCTTCGGTTGTGATGCCAAATAAATCATACTTAACCCTTGAGTTAATCGCTGTTATTTTATCTACCAGTCTATGTTTAATCAAATTTAGTTCAGCTCCCGTATCGATAATGAAATTAGCGCTTCCGTTTTTTAGATTGTTACTTTTTAAATTAATGTGGGGTGTCGGTACTTTCCCGCTCGATTCGAAAGCTAATATTGTTCGTCGGATAGGCGCAGTGTTTTCCCGAAGCTCGCTTGTGCACCAGTCAAGTGAGCTTATTCCTCGTTTAAATCGTCCTTCTTTTGTTCCCGATTTTCGTAAACCTTTCTTAAGCGAAGAAAACATTTCTCCTGTAAATGACCATTCTTTTTACAGAAAGTGCAGGACAATTTATTTTTATTTGCATTTCCGTTATTCAATAAGGGACAATTGTGTACAATATGGTCAGGACTTTTGCAAATAAAGCACTCGCGTTTTTTTTGTGGTGCTTTATTGCAATCGCGAGCAACATGGCCAGGTTCGTTGCAGTTGAAACAAGCTTTATTGTCGTTAACTGTGCGTACACATCCTCGCGCTAGGTGACCCGATTCACCGCATCTATAACAATTGTTATTTGACGTTGCGGAGTTATCCCTGTTTCCCGAGTTCGGAGGTTGATTACGATTCCCTCCCCCTCTACCACGTTGACCGCCACGATGCCCATCGAGTTTTCTAATGCGACCGTTTTTATCGTAAGGGTGATGTCGATTTTGATTATTGCCGCTCATTTTATTTCTCCCTTCATCTGATTTTTCTTTAGCATCGCTTTTGCTTTCAGGTGCCCGTCTGTCTAACTTCTGCTCGTGTTCGACTTCCCATTCGGCTTGTTTCGCGAGATTCACGGCATCGTCCAAGGATCCAGGTCTTCCCACCCTTACTCGCCACACGAGGTCTCGCTTTAATCCCATAATGAAATTTTCGCGGGCCGTGGTGCGGGCCGACTGCACCATGTAGTGAGCGGCCTCGTTTGTATTTTGATCCTCTATTAATTCGACTAAACTTGCTAATATTCTTCTCACGCGAGACCCGTATGATACTACACTTTCCTCCTCAAGCTGAGCGACCGTAGCAAGAGCGGAATGTAGTTGACTGGAATTCCGATGTTCTGTAAAAGTGTTTTTTAAATGCAGTAATAATTCTTCTAAAGAATTAATGTCCCTGTCCTGGAGAGAATCGAACGCATTCCCGACAACTCGCGAGAGGACCATCAAAAATAAGTGGTTTCTATCTTTCGATGCCATTAAATTACGCGCGGAGATGCAACCCTTTATAAATTGGCCGACTGGCATCGATTGCCCATCAAAACTGTTCGGAAGAAATCCCAAGGCTTCTTTAAGAGAAATTGGATTCTCAGGATCCTTTAGAGGCAGCGTTAACAATCCCGACTTTGACGTACTTGCGCCTGAAATACTGCTACCGACATGCACCGGTGTATGACTAACACGCGGTAAAATAGGGGTTCGCTGCTGAATTACAAGATTATTCGCGTGATAATTTGAATTTTCACTGTATTCAAAATCGATATCTTCATTACTCTCGTCCACAGGTTCAAATTGGTTATCATTTTCGACATAATTTTCATTACTTCCTACAGTTCGAGAGCTAACTCTTCGAACTCTTCCCCGTTTGTTAATTGCGGTTTTATTCGCGACTCTACCCGTTGGTTTTCGTCCCCGTTTTGCTCTTTCTATTACAACATTCGCGTTTGAATTTTCACCCCTATTCGCGTTGGCGGAATTGCCGCCTCGACGGCCTTCTCCTCCTCTACGGACAGCACTACGAGTATTCATTTTAATGGATTTTTGCGGAGAAATAAACAATTATTTATTGCAAATAAATCTCAATAATTCAAAAAAGGGTAAATTATTATTTATTATTATTTCTTTTCTTTTTAAATTTATCTAAAAGATTGGCAAACAATTTAACAAAATTTATTTTTTTTTTTTGGACAATTGACTTACTACTTTGATGGTCTTGAAGACAGCTGATTATAAGATCGGCACTTTGACACTAAAATTATCCCCTTCAGGGAGAAAATAACTGTATTTAACAATTTATTTTCTTTTTCACAGCACTACACTCGCGAATCAGCTCTTCGGATATTATTCCCTTTTGCGCACACAAGTTGTTGACTGGATATCCAAGGTTGCCTGCAGTGGTCAGAGGGATAACTGGCGGATCTCAAAACCACTGTCTGCGATACTGGTGTATAAAAAAAAAACACCCTAGCCTCCAGGTCTAAAAACCGCCCAAAAACCTTGAGGAGTTATCGCGGCAATGCTCCTGTCGTACCTCGTCTTCTTCTTCTGCTACCACTCGATGTCGTCTTCTTCTTCGCCTGCTGCTGGAACTTATTTTTATTTTTTTTTTTGCCACTGCTCGAACTCGTTTTCTTCTTCGCC